AGCAAGGCTGGCGGAGAATGCAGTGCAACCGTCAGGAGAAAAGCACATAATGAACATCATGGAGGTAATGGCCAAAATCGACGCCCTCCACCAAAAGTTGACCCAAGTGGTCAACGCATATCGCCCCACAGACGTCTTTACAGTGGACACAGCTGGGGGAGGGGAATGAACATCGTCAAAACCGAAAGAACAGAAAATAACAATGCAAGACGCACCTCGACAGTGCAACAGCAATCTCCGGGAGGTAATAGTGGATACCCCACGCCGGTTTCAGTACCAATAATTCTGGGGTGCATGGAAGCGTCAACAATCTACCAATGAGGGAGAACCAAGGTCAAGTCAAACTCAATCATTCCCGATGTGTTAAGGCTGTGGTGAGTTCACACATTTTATAAGTAGCTGTTTTACTCGGAATTCAACTCATTATGTGTGTAAACGAGTGGGGTAACTTGAGAAAGCTATTACTCTAAATGACTATATGCTTATATGGTAGGTAAAATGATAAGAAAGAAATCAGATCTTCGACTATTCACTGTCATCAATTTCAGAATGTGCTGTCAATTAAAATAAAAAAAAAAATACATGTTGATACATTAGTTGATACCTAGGCGTCGTTAAATGTTGTGTCAGAGCATTTTTTGAAATGTTAGATAACAGAAATCTTACATTTTATAAAACATCTCACATGAAGAATGTTTCTGTAGTGAATGGATCATTACAGAATGTTTTTGGTTCAGTCAAACTGCCCATTTCTTTTGGCGATAAAGTCATAAATCAGTCACGCCGATTTAGCCTCGAAAACTGATCATAAGCATGCTTTTTTTAAAGCACACTGTTAAATTGACGTTGGTTTGAACTATCTTACAATACCCAAATACTATGTACAGATATCATTATATCTGTATGTATTGATGGTTCTATTATAAACTTTGTATTTTAATTGATAAACGGAGTGTGGGCAGAAACGTGGAACAATGCCATGATATCACTCAATAGGTGCCAGAAGAGATGCTTTTTTATTTAAAAAATACCATACACGACGAGATTTCGGTCAGAGGGTAGTTGTCTGTGGCCGAGTCATTCTTCTCTGTTTACCTGATACTTTCTCCTTATGACAATATCATGTCAGATGACACTGCAACATTGACAGCTATTGTCATTCTACTAGCAAGTAGTCAAAATGGTTGATTTTATGTTGGGGTGACCCCACGGGTAGTTTGTGCATGTGTTTACGCGCTTCACCGTGATCTTCAGGGGAAACAAGGCAAGCGTGCATTATATGTTTGAGACATTATACAATTATAGCGCAATTCATGGCATTTTAAGGTATTACGATGTAATACTGGCGGCAAACCCGATTTTGTCAGCTTACTGAATTATTTATTGGAAGCTATTACATAATGCTACTCAGCAGTTCTGTAAAACTAGTTTTATGGGTGAATAGGTGAATTAAGGAAATAGTTTTATTCGTTACATCTCTCACGATAATCTGGCCGTCAAGTCAAACATTTGAAGAATCAATGAAGTGTAGACGGTCACATTATGTCTAACTGATTTTTGATTCACAGATAATATACATAGAACAGTATATCCCCACTGTATGCTGCATTATATTACACCAGCATTAAGCTTCAGATCAATTTCTCCCTGACCACAGCTATGTAAACCCTGTAACAGGTAGCTCATATGATTTCGTACGCCACTATACAGATCTTTTCCATTTCACCTATTCTGAATCTACAACAAAGAGTTCTTTACAGTAGCACAGGAAACATTCATGAAATGAAGTATCCAAAATGACTGCTAGGGTGATGTGAGGCAGGGCAAAATTGACATTACCTGCATACACCACGTAGGTTATTATTATTATTTTTTCCTGTGTGATGATAGACAAATACTGTGAATAAGTGATTGTAATGAAGAAATTTATGTGAAAACCAAGTTGGGGGAAGCAGATGAGTTAACAAACAAGTTAACAATTCAATTTGGTCGAGTTTTAGATTATAGATGACTATCTTACATGATAGAAATGTTGAGCCCAGTTAGATAAGATTATCAAATATTTAACATCCAAAGTTATGCCCAACGAAGATAATACTGATGTTGAGGGACTGTAGAAACGAACTTACATATGATATAATTGAAAAATGCAGTTACCATTCGATTAGTTACGTAAATAATGACAAACACACATGTACCTATCATCCATAAGATGCCAGGAAATCAAGTTTGTTTGCTGGATAGTACGGACTAGTTAATGCTGATATACAAGAATTAATGATGACAAATAAAGGAACTATGAGTAGAAATATCAGTATAATAGATAAGGGTGCTCGTGTCGAACAGGAGAATGAAATGATGATTGAAGACAAAAAGCATACTGGAGGTAAGTTTAGGGATAGGGTAGCTTTAAGGTGTGTTTATGGATTTTAAATATACAACTGATTATCTCTCTCCCTAGGCGTTTTGTACAAACAGGACGTTGACTGACATAGACCTTCACAATTTTCGTTCTTTATTGCAGCACAAATATTAATCCCGTATACATCTCACACCAATAATCATAAATCATAAAATCTGCGTCAAGTTTACAAGCTTCTGGGGCTGCACATTGATTCTGTGCAATTTTCTTTGGCTCCAGCAGAGAATCATGAGGTTAAGTTATATCGTCGTATTTTGCCGTTCATCAGACGGGATTTTAATTAACCATTTTATCCCCTTATTAACCAACCACCAACCTTTCGGTTAACAGCCGAACGTGCTAACCGATTGCGCCATAGAGACCTATATAACTCACCTGAAGGTATTAATTAGCACCTGGGGCCTTCATCACGACAGGTAGATTGAGATCTTATCTCACCGTCGCTTTACCTTTATGTATAAGGCCTCTGTTCTGATGATAAATTCCGATTAACTGTCGTGCAAACAGGTATACATGTATCCCAGTTTGGGCAAAGTTAGGACTTCAATTCTGATGGATATACTGAAATATCCTTTTCAGAAATCACGAGAGAAAAACCTTTATATAATATGAATTCTATCAAAACATGTTTGTCCCTGGATGGGCTTGAAAAAACAACCTTTCGGTTAACAGCCCAGACGTGGATGGGGCAGACTCGGATTCCGTGGAAATGCGACTAGAAAAGGTTCAGTTTTACCTTAAATTTTTTTGAATACGTTCACAGCACAGTAACATGTTTAAAACACCGCAGTTTTCTGGCGGTTTTCAGTCCATTCTCGCATTCCTTTTTTTTTTTTTTTTTTTTTTTTGGTGCATGGTTGCTGAAGTACGGCGATTTTCGTTGGAATAAATAAATACGGCAAATGCGACCATTATTTAAAAGCCTTTTGTAAAGTAAGTTAAAACTCGGCAGGCCCGTAGCCATCAGTTTTAAAAGTGTGATTTTTTTTCTGAAAAAGTGGACCTATTACCGTCAAACCTTCATGTATCTAACCCTCATAGACGTACATTGAATGTACAAATGTATACATTACTTCAAGATTACGCTCCAAATGTGATATGTAATTTGATTTAGTTAGTTTTACTGTGTTTTATAAACATGATTCCCACTATTTAAAACGTAAAAATTAAGACGTAAAGAACTTCAAGTTTTAGTTGATGTTTGCCTTGATTATGTTAGAACGTGGAACATTAAAGACAATATAACTCTTTGTTTTGGCCAAAAATGATTTTTCCTGCAGTAAACAACAATTTCCCCATATTTACCAAGGGTTAATGAAACCATTTTTACATTCAAAGTTAGTCCCTGTGTTTTTTTTCTAAAAAGTTTGTTTTTTGTTATAATCTTTTAAGAGATTATAACAGAATATAGCCATCAATGGAGGTCACGTGGTGTAAAGACAAGATCAGATATCAGAATAAAAACTATAACTGCCATATATGTTATATTTGTATGAGTTGTTCCCAATGTTTTTTATTGTGAAATATAGATCTCATATAAAGAGTTATTATCCCTTTAACAAAAGCATTCCATATTTATAGTTCTGTTTAAACGGCGTGTGCTATCCGGACCTCCATACCCTGACGCGATTTGGACGTCTCAGAAACCCCTGAAAGAATTGGACACGCTGCAAAACAAGATTTATGGCTGTTTCTCCCAAATCTCCTACATCAAATATTTTAAAAGTTTTTTTTAGAAATTCTAAAGACTTGTGCTACTGTTATTAAATTAGCTTATTCTCTGTTCTGTAGGGTAATGAGCTTTGCCTCACCTTACCGTGAGACTTTATCATAGCAGGTTTCTCATGTTATACCCAATCAGCTACTGGTGAAAGAGACCCAGCTAGATGGTAAAAAAAAAAGTAATTCAAAATAATTTTAAACTGCTTGTGGGTCTACATTAACAGTTTTGAACTGTCTTTTATATGAGCTGTGTGGTCGTTATGTATTTCATTTTATTCCATCATATTTTAACTTATTTACTTAATTCGTTTTTTTTTTTTTTTTTTTTTTTTTTTTTTTTTTTTTTTTTTTTTTTTTTTTATTTTTTTAAAGGTTTTTTTTTAAAAAATAAAATTTTTAATTTTTGGGGAAAAAATAAATGGTTTTTATTTTTTAAAAAGTTNATATATAATATACATATTTTCTGCCTTTTCGGCGTTTTACTTTTAATAAAATTACATGTAATTTCACGAACCACACAACACGGGGATTTCTTATTTTATCCAGGCCTAGAACTAGTGCGATTTCATATACTACATGGAAGCAGCACGGAAAATTTAACCTAAGTTAGGTTCGAAATGTTGGTTGATTTTTTTTCTTTTAGTATTATTATTATTTTATTTTATTTATTTATTTTAATTTAGAAACCTGCTTCATTTCCACTATTCTCACAACCCTTTAGCCAACAGAACACGAAACTTAAACATTTTAACCATCTGAAGCTGAGATAATTATTCATTGATACCTTTAGAATGTACTTAAAATTGGAATCTTCTGTTCATTTAGTTCCGAATGCCACTTGTTGGGCACGAGGCGATGTTCGCTACAAGACGTTTGACGGCCTGCACTTCAGTTATAACACTCCTGTTCAAACTATCAGTCTACCAGTCGTTACGAAATTCGGCATCATGGTCATGTCGTGGACGGGTAGTCGTTGGTGGGTGGTCACGGAGCAAGAGTTATTTAATGGGGGACCAAGAACACGCATCAAACGAGTTTTCGTGGGGTGTTCAGGTGAATTTTTCCAGGCTGATTTAGGCTCAAATGTGACGTTGTTGGTGAGTTTTTTTTACTTTTAGTTTTCAATTCAGTTAACACATTTTAAACCCACCTATTAAGTCCATGTAGTACGTTCCTTGCTGTCGCTCCCTCCCTCCGTCCCTCTCTCTCTTTCTCTCTCTCTCTCATATGAATTTCATTTCAGTGCAGTACAATCGATATTGTTAATTAACTGCTTGCTATTCATTATAAATATTGCATTTTTTAAAAAATGTTTTGCATTTGCCTTCCCGAACCGAGTCAGATGTAGCCCCAGCCCTATTCCACTTCTATCTTCCTAGTTCTACCCTATCTTGTAGAAATGTTGCAGTAGTTTATACTGTTTCTGTGATTCAGAAAAAAACAACAACATCTTTTGCATTTTCCTTCCAGAAACGAGGCACAGGCGAAATTATTGATACACCTTTCGTATATGCCGGTGGACTTGTCACAGGGGATAGTCTTGCACCTAGAGGGTACTTCATAGTTTGCCATGCAGTTCCAATGACTGTCAGTGTCTACCTGCACACGGTTGAGATAGAAATGACTGGCAAACATTGCGCCTCTGCCCTGGGGGTACGTGGAATCTGCGGAGACTACAATGGGAACGCGACCAACGACTATGACGACTTGATCCCACCTGGTCTGCCGCCATGGAAACCTTTCTTGTTACCTGAACGACCATAAAAGATACAGTGACAATAACACACACAGCGGAAACACATTGACGGTGGGGAAATATTGAATACGGACAAACAATACAGCAATGTATACACAGTCAAAAACCAGGACTGAATTCCATATGAATACGGACTATGAGCACTGAAAATGGGAAGCACCAACTGCAGTTTCAGTTATTTTTCTCTATAAACATTTGGGTCTGAGTGACTTGAAGGTTTCTTTTCATAGCTTCCAAAAAGAATGACTGTCCACTTTGTCAATGGGCTTGGTGTTTTTTTTTTTTTTTTTTTTTTCACAACATTACATTTTGAACACCGTAGTCAAAGTGCTTATTGGAAGTTTTTTGAAGTAAAGATATATCTGTCGCTGTGCAGCCTGTAATTTGTGGCTTTGACGTTTACAGTATTTCTAATTTCATGTTATTGAACTGGTAACTGGATGTCACAGGAACACGGAACATGGGGTACTTACGATGCAATTCCACTCTATCTAATTTAATTGTAATTTGTGGATTGGAAGATGATAATGTTTCAGTTCAATGTATATCTTTTGGTGTTCTTTTTGCATAATTATTTAGTTAATTATATATATTTGAGGGGTGTAATCGTAAGACACAATTTGAAAATTTTGAATGCATGGTAAATTTAAATTTGTAATGCGTGAAAGGGATATTTTCTGTTTACAGTTACAGTATTTTAAACGTGGTAATTGGTAGAAAGACAATATTCAGCTTTGAGTTTTTTCTGAATAACGAGTGTAAAAGTATTTTTTTTTTTTGACATTGGAATTTCTTAAGGGAATAAAAATAGGGCACAAAGACACAGCTGAGTTATAGTTACTAAGAAGAAAAAATATTGCTGCATCAAAAATAAAAAAAAAAATATATATATATATATATATATATAATAAGAACATAATATAAATGTGAAGAAAAACATGTGTTCAACACTTGGGATGAAATGCTAGAGTGTATTTATAGAGTCCACATATCACTCAAATGGTTAAAAGGGCTAAAATGATTGTCGCTTGGGATATATTTAGTGGGGATCAAGGGAGAGGGACGACACAGTAGGAGGGTCCAGAGGGTTCAAATGATGCCACTTGTGGTACAGTATATTTACTGGGGGATCCAGGAAGAAGGGACGGGACAGTGGGAGGTTGCCGACGGTTAAAGTAATGTCGCTTCTATAGAAGAAGGCCCATCTTTGGTCCTCTAATCCTGATTGCAGTAAATACCCGTGCTATGCCACCGTGCATAAACGGTCCATTAACTCTTCTACAGTGTCGAGGAAGTGTCAAATCCGTGCAACCGTCTCCATTTTAACAGCTTTGACGACGTTGTCGTAGCGTCGTTTTGCTAGTGGACGACGCCATTCAGTTGGAGTCGTTTGTTGAAAACAACAGTGCCTCTCAGCCAATAACGATTCACCTAGTTTTAGTATGGAAGGGTGGAGGACGCCATAAGACATCTGTGTTGCCCTTGGTTATTTGTACTGAGGGATTTCAACCTGTAATAAAATTGTGGCTTATAGCGGACCTTTGTTAGCGTGCACAGTATACATTTATTAAGCTTATTTTTGAACACCTTTGGCTAGTCGGTCGTGCATTCTTAGTTTCTTAAGAGGGCGCGAATAAAGTGGATATCAACAACAACCATTACTAAAGATATAGTGTGTTTACCATGGAAAGAACAGACATACCAGTAACGTGTGTGGAACTTAACCAAGTCTACTGTGTATTAACCCCTTTCCAGAAACTGTCGCGAAAGTTTGACAAATTATTGTCATTCTAGGAACTTGTAAATCAATAAAGCGGTGAGATTGGACAATACAACGCATTGATAAATCGACTTTTACATAAAAAAAAAGAAAACGCAATATTATTTTTGTCCATCACTTTGCATTGGTATACATACATCTATATACCAACGTACTGTAGAGCTGGAATTACGAGGGATATTACACCCTAGTCAGTGTTCTTTTGAAAAAAAAAAAAAAAGAAAAGAAAAACAAGGAAAGTGACAATATATCTGTAAAATTACACTGATAACATATTGAGGGACATATTTTAAGTTAAAGTTATTTAAAACATATCTTAAAACATGTTCACAGAAATAGTAAGCATAACTGATGACTCTGCAATATAAAACACCCAACCGTGTAGCTAGTGTTCTTAAAAATCATGCAAAGTGACTTAATATATTTGAAAAATACATTGATAAGATATTAAGGGACATATAAAGATTTTTATAAACATATCTTAAAACTTGTTCACAGAAATAGTAATCCTAACTGATGATTCTGAAATATATAACACCCAAGCAAGTGTTATTAAAAAAAAAAAAAAAAAAAAAAAAAAAAACATGTAGAGAGACTTAATATATCTGTAAAAATATATTGATAAAATATTAAGGGATATATTTTAATTTAAAATAAATCATATACATATCTTAAAACTTGTTCACGTTAATAGTCATTCTCACTGATGTCTTCAAAATATAATGCCGTTCTTTGTCAATTAAATTCGACATCCATAAACGGAACACATTTCTCAACTTTTTCTACTTTAAGCATGTAAGCAAATTATGCCGACAGGAATGAGTCATACAACATCGTCAATCATGACACTTTCTATGGAACTTTGTGAATAAGTTCAACTAATATGTCTATTCTGTATTCTTATTGGCCGCCGCATGCCGCCTTGTAAGACACACGGTGACACCTTTCTCCGGCTGCACTGTGTTCCTGGCCACGTGAACCAATGGAATCTGCGTCTCAGCACAGGTCTCAACACTGAACTTCTTCACGAGACACGCCAAGGTCATCTTGGCCTCCATCAGGGCGAACCTCATACCAATGCAGTTTCTGGGGCCTGCCCCAAATGGAAGCCAGGCCATAGGGTGACGCTTAGCAACCCTCTCTGCCGTGAACCTGGATAAAAGAACGACACAAAGATGACGTCGAGTTACGTCACGTCACGTGAACCATGTTTACACACGACTATTGCAGAGCATGAATGCGCCTGGCTGAGGTCATTAGACTTTCAAATTACAGGGCGGAAACAAGCATGCTGAAATTTGACTCAAAAATGAATTTGTGCAATAGTAATTATGAAGATGAATATGTCACTGACACGAAAAAGATAATGTGATAAGTCTTGAATGTTAATACCTCAAACATTTCAAACGTTAACTCCAAAATGAGATTTAATTAAAGTTTCACCTTTGTCTAAAAATAAATAAAATAAACAAATAAAAAAAATCAAGTCAAAATAAAAAGAATCAAAACCTTTCTTCAGATAAATAGCAAAATCATATGATTATCGATAGATGGCGGCACCTTACCGTTCAGGACGGAAGAGGCTGGGGTCTGGGGGTGCCCAGTGCTCAGGATCCATGTGGATACTGTCTATGTTACAGCGAACACTCATGCCTTTGGGGATGTGAACACCCATCACTGTGCTGGATTCCTGTGCAGTTCTCCCTGGTCCACTAATGAAAACATACTAGTTTATAGATGTAGTTTGACAAATTTTAATTTGAATTAAACTCTTGGTCGAATAATTGTACATCTCTTCCACGTGTAGTTAGTTCATGTATTCAAAAAAGTGTCAGTTTGATGAGCAGTTTGCTTTTAGCTTTCGATTTTCAAACTTTGCTTTACATCTTCTCAACTACTTACTTTCATTGGATTATTATTATTATTATTATTATTATTATTATTATTATTATTATTATTATATAATTTATGTACAGTTGACTATAATTATTATTATTATTATTATCATTATTATTATTATTATGAAAATAATTGCTGTACAGTTGACGTACAGAGGAGGAAACGAGCGAACATGACTGCACGTGCGCTGCATGTATGTGTGCATAAGCTTCTTTACATTGTTTTTTGTTCTATGTGTATTGTCATACTATGTTCACTATTATTTTTGTTTATTTATTTATTATTATATATATATATATATATATATATATATATATATATATATATATATATATATATATATATATATAAGAAAAGTAATATTTGATACATAACTAATTAAATAAACTATACAAAAAAGAAGCAGAACATCTCTAATTCCCAATTAATATAATTACAACAACAACATGATACAATTGCGTCGATGTGATTTAAACTATAAGTAACAACTGGCTCATCTTGGAAATTAATCTCCCTACCGCAGTTTAATTACTTTGAAACACTACATTATTTTATAGGATCTTAGGGCTTGATTTTGTACATCCGCCATTTACTTTAAAAAGTGTGTACAAAGGCGCCGCCTGAATCCAACTATTTTACTATAGAACTATCTGAATTCATGAGAGAACAGTTTCATTAGCTCTGTATGTATAAATTCAAATTACTGTTTTTTTCTTTTTATCAAGAGCTTGTAAAATATGTGGGTATTACCTCCAATATTTCTGTGACTGTCAGTCACCATCATCAGGGAGTAAATGACTATTGGAGGTAATACCCACATATTTTACAAGCTCTTGATAAAAAGAAAAACAGTAATTTGAATATCTGAATTCAACTAGGTATATTCCTACACTGTTTCAATATATAATTCTTTCCCTTCAAGAGAATTGTTTCCCTGCAGACACTTACCTCCTCAGTGCAGTATTGGTCTACCTCCTCCTGGAGAGTTTTCTGTGCCTCTGGACTCGTTGCTAGGCGGTAGGCGGCGTAGGCCAGGGCGGTGCTGGTAATTTCATACCCTGCGAACAAAAACGTTACACACTGTGCCCGGATCTCCTAAAGATTGAAATAAAAGTCAACAATTAATTCGATTTATTAAACCTTTCAGCCGTACGGCTCATCTGAATGGAATACATTGACAACATAAAGTCACATCAACTTAACTGTCACTGCAAAAACAACTACTTCTGATGCAAATAATAATAATAATAATAATAATAATAATAATAATAACAATTCATCGGAGTGACCCTAATTTTAGCTCCAATGCATATTTTAAAAACTTTCTGTGAGACATTGTTAAGTGATAATAATTTAATTAGTTTAAAGACGCTTGGCTTTGTATAATAAAATGTCCTGGTGTATTTATGCCTAATCGTACTGTAGTGAGGGCATGTAAGGATAAAGTGAAATGCATCATCTACATCGTATAAATTACATAATTTACAGGTTCTTAATTTTTTATTTGTGTCTGTGAAACTTCCAGTCTCCACAGCTAGATTATGTGATGAAAGCCTAAATTTTGCGATACATTCCTAATTTTTCTGGGAAATTGACTTATTTAAATACAATTGCACTGTGTAATTATCAACAAGATGTTGATACAATAACCCTTTCCTCGCTGTGAATATTTCTCGGGTCAATACTTGTTTAAAATTATATTTCAATCTTTGTTTTATCAAAAACAGTTTACAAACATCTGACATGTTTTCATAACAAGTAAATCACAGACCCATTGATTTCAGTTCATTCCGTATACAACTTCTTCACTCAAAATTATTTTAAGGATATTTTTGTAGCCGTTTGTATAATACATATTTTCAACCAATATTTAATAATGCTAAAGCTTTCTATCTAAAATAAGTGGGTATTTTTTTTTTTTTAACTATTAACAATCAGTGCTCGCCCATTCATGTTGTCCTACCAAAATTCTATATATTAAAACAGTTATTACATTAACAACGTTTTAATCCTGAGTGCCATTTATAGACTTAAACGGATTCGGTTTCGAACCGTCCACATTAGCAGGTTCTATCAAATATTGCTACAGCGGAATTCGCTTGAATAAGTATCATTTACGGTGTATGCATTGTCGTGAAACATTGAATTCCTCCTTAGATGCACACAGTCACACAGTCACACATATACACACACATGNATAATATACATATTTTCTGCCTTTTCGGCGTTTTACTTTTAATAAAATTACATGTAATTTCACGAACCACACAACACGGGGATTTCTTATTTTATCCAGGCCTAGAACTAGTGCGATTTCGTATACTACATGGAAGCAGCACGGAAAATTTAACCTAAGTTAGGTTCGAAATGTTGGTTGATTTTTTTTTCTTTTAGTATTATTATTATTTTATTTTATTTATTTATTTTAATTTAGAAGCCTGCTTCATTTCCACTATTCTCACAACCCTTTAGCCAACAGAACACGAAACTTAAACATTTTAACCATCTGAAGCTGAGATAATTATTCATTGATACCTTTAGAATGTACTTAAAATTGGAATCTTCTGTTCATTTAGTTCCGAATGCCACTTGTTGGGCACGAGGCGATGTTCGCTACAAGACGTTTGACGGCCTGCACTTCAGTTATAACACTCCTGTTCAAACTATCAGTCTACCAGTCGTTACGAAATTCGGCATCATGGTCATGTCGTGGACGGGTAGTCGTTGGTGGGTGGTCACGGAGCAAGAGTTATTTAATGGAGGACCTAGAACACGCATCAAACGAGTATACGTGGGGTGTTCAGGTGAATTTTTCGAGGCTGATTTAGGCTCAACTGTGACGTTGTGGGTGAGTTTTTTTTTTACTTTTAGTTTTCAATTCAGTTAACACATTTTAAACCCACCTATTAAGTCTATGTAGCAAGTTCCTTGCTGTCGCTCCCTCCCTCCGTCCCTCTCTCTCTCTCTCTCTCTCTCTCTCTCTCTCTCATATGAGTGCAGTACAATCGATATTGTTAATTAACTGCTTGCTATTCATTATAAATATTGCATTTTTAAAAAAATGTTTTGCATTTGCCTTCCCGAACCGAGTCAGATGTAGCCCCAGCCCTATTCCACTTCTATCTTCCTAGTTCTACCCTATCTTGTAGAAATGTTGCAGTAGTTTATACTGTTTCTGTGATTCAGAAAAAACAACAACATCTTTTGCATTTTCCTTCCAGAAACGAGACACAGGCGAAATTACTGATACACCTTTCGTATATGCCGGTGGACTTGTCACAGGGGATAGTCTTGCACCCAGAGGGTACTTCATAGTTTGCCATGCAGTTCCAATGACTGTCAGTGTCTACCTGCACACGGTTGAGATAGAAATGACTGGCAAACATTGCGCCTCTGCCCTGGGGGTACGTGGAATCTGCGGAGACTACAATGGGAACGCGACCAACGACTATGACGACTTGATCCCACCCGATCCACCTGGTCTGCCGCCATGGAAACCTTTCTTGTTACCTGAACGAACATAAAAGATACAGTGACAATAACACACACAGCGGAAACACATTTACGGTGGGGAAATATTAAATATGGACAAACAAAACAGGACTGTATACACAGGACTGAATTCCATATGAATACGGACTATGAGAACTGAAAATTGGGAGCGCCAACTGCAGTTTTAGTTATCTAGCTTACTCTCTTAAGATATGGGTCTGAGTGACTAAGAGGTTTCTTTTCATAGCTTCGAATAAGAATTGCTGTCCACTTTGTCGATTGGCTTGGTGTTTTCTTTTTTTTTTTTTTTCATGATATTAAATTTTTCTTACCATAGTCAAGGTGCTTAATGAAAGTTTTGTTAATTAAAGATATATTTGGCGCTGTGCTGTCTTTAAAATGTAATATGTAGCTTTGACAGTGTTTCTAATTCCTTGTTATTGTACTACTAACTGGGTGTCACAGGGACACGGAACTTGGGGAACACACGATATAATTCCACTTAATCTAATTAATTGTAATTTAATTGTAATTTGTGGATTGGAAAATGATATTGTTTCAGTTGAATATATATCTTTTGGTGTTCTTTTTGAATTATTATTTTAATAATTATATTTATTGGAGGGGGTGTAACCATAAGACACAATTTGAAAATTTTGAATGCTTGGTAAATTTGCTTTTAAGTGATATTTTCTGTTTTCAGTACAGTACTTTAAAGGAGGTAAATTGTAGAAAATAGTATATATTTACAGGGACCGTATTTTATTTCCATCTTTTAGCTTTGCTTTTTTCCGAATAAAGAGTGTATAAGTAGTTTTTGTTGACATTGTTATCTCTAAAAGGAATAAAATTAGGGCAAAAAGATAAAGCTTTAACATAGAAATATAAAAAATGAGATAAAAAGTAGGTAAATAAGAACATAATATAAATGTGAAGAAAAACATGGGCGCAACACTTGCGTGTATTTATACAGTTCACATATCAGACAAATGGTTAAGAAGGGTAAAAATAATGCCGCTATTGGTATAATCACTGGGATAATCAAGGGGAAGGGACAGTGCAGTAGGAAGGTCCTGAGGGTTAAAATGATGCCACTTGTGGTACAATATATTCACTGGGGGATCCAGGGTGAAGGGACGGGACAGTGGGAGGGTGCCGGCGGTTACAATAATGTCGCTCCTATGTAAGAAGACCCATCCTTGATCCTCTTATCTTGATTGCAGTGAATACCCGTGCTCTGCCACTGCATAAACGGTCCGTTAACTCTTCTACAGTGTCGAGGAAGTGTCAAATCCGTGCAACCGTCTCCATTTTAACAGCTTTTACGACGTTGTCGAAGCGTCGTTTTGCAAGTGGACGACGCCATTAAGTTGTAAACGTTTGTTGAAAACAACAGTGCCTTTCAGCCAATAACGATTCATCTAGTTTTTGTATCGAAGCTTGGAGGGCGCCGTAAGACATTTGTGTTGCACGTGGTTTAACAATTGTACTGATGGATTTAAACCTGTAATAAAACTGTGGCTTATAGGATACAGTGTATTAAGAGGCTTATTTTGAACACCTTCTGATTATATTAACGGTCGTGCGTTCTTAATTTCTTCAGAGGGTGCGAATAAAGTGGAAATCATTTGATAACAACAGACATTAATAAATATATACAGTGTGTTTACCATGAAAAGAACAGAAATAACAGTAACGTGTGTGGAACTAAACCAAGTCTACTGTGTATTAACCTTGTTCCAGGAACTGTCGCGAAGGTTTGACAAATTATTGCCATTCTCAGAACTTGTAAATCAATAAAGTGGTCAGATTTAACAATGCAACACATTAATAGATCAACATTTATATAAAAAAAACGCAATATTCTTTTTATCCATCACTTTACATTGGTATACATACATCTATAGGCCTATACCAACATAGTGTAGAGCTGGAATTACGGAGGATATTTCACCCTAGCCAGTGTTCATTTGAAAAAAAAAAGAAAAGAAAAGCAGGCAAAGTGACAATATATCTGTAAAATTACACTGATACCATATTAAGGGACATATTTTAAGTTAAAGACATTTATAAACATATCTTAAAACTTGTTTACAGAAATAGTAAGCATAACTGATGACTCTGCCATATAAAAAACCCAACCGTGTAGCTAGTGTTCTTAAAAAACATGCAAAGTGACTTAATATATTTGAAAAATACATTGATAAGATATTAAGGGACATATAAAGATATTTATAAACATATCTTAAAACTTGTTCACAGAAATAGTAATCCTAACTGATGATTCTGAAATATATAACACCCTACCTAGTGTTCTTAAAAAAAATAGCATGCAGAGAGACTTAATATATCTGTAAAAATATATTGATACAATATTAAGGGATGTATTTTAATTTAAAATGAATCATATACATATCTTAAAACTTGTTCACGTTAATAGTCATCCTTTTTGATGTCTTTCAAATATAATGCCGTTCTTTGTCAACTAAATTCGACATCCATCCGCACAATAGAACATTTTAAACGGAACACATTTCTCAATTTTTTTCTACTTTAAACATGTAAGCTAATTATTTCTGACAGATATAAGTCATACAACATCGTCAATCGTGACACTTGCTATGGAACTTTGTGAATATGTTCAACTAATATGTCTATTCTGTAGTCTTATTGCCCACCGCATTCCGCCTTGCAAGACGCACGGTGACACCTTTCTCCGGCTGCACCGTGCCCCTAGCCACGTGAACCAGTGGAATCTGCGTCTCAGCACAGGTCTCAACGCTGAACTTCTTCACGAGACACGCCAAGGTCATCTTGGCCTCCATCAGGGCGAACCTCATACCAATGCAGTTTTTGGGGCCTGCCCCAAATGGAAGCCAGGCCATGGGGTGACGCTTAGCAACCCTCTCTGCCGTGAACCTGGATAGAAGAACAACACAAAGATGACGTAGAGTTACCCACGACTATTGCAGAGCATGAATGCGCCTGGCTGAGGTCATTAGACTTTCAAATTACAGGGCGGAAACAAGCATGCTTAAATTTGACTCAAAATGAATTTGTGCAATAGTAATTGTGAAGATGAATATGTCACTGACACGAAAAAGATAATGTGATAAGTCTTGAAAGTTAATACCTCAAACATTTCAAACGTTAACTCCAAAATGAGATTTAATTAAAGTTTCACCTTTGTCTAAAAATAAATAAAATAAACAAATAAAAAAATCAAGTCAAAATAAAAAGAATCAAAACCTTTCTTCAAATAAATAGCAAAATCCTATGATTGTCGATAGATGGCAGCACCTTACCGTTCAGGACGGAAGAGGCTGGGGTCTGGGGGTGCCCAGTGCTCAGGATCCATGTGGATACTGTATATGTTATAGCGAACACTCATGCCTTTGGGGATGTGAACACCCATCACTGTGCTGGATTCCTGTGCAGTTCTCCCTGGTTCACTAATGAAAACATACTACTTTATAGATGTAGTTTGACAAATTTTTATTTGAATTAAAAATTTAATTTGAATTAAAATTCATTGCGCATCAGCCGATGCGATTCAATCCTTTAAAAATGATCGCACCACTTTTTCAGGAACTCTTACTTTTAATTATTACGACACGAGGTATCAAAAAACCTATTTCATCGAAAAAAATTATCACATTTTTTTTTAGAATTCGTTTTTAGTGCGTGGCTGTTGTAAGGGAAAATTACAGGACAAAGCACGTGCTCCCTATGGTTGACTACGGAGTTATCCATTTTATCATTATTTTCACAGCTACAAACCGCATGGCCAGAAATGCGCAGCATTCACGCGATACGCGAGGGCGCTACAGTAGGGCTTCACGTGACTCAACTAGCCCATCACAGCACAACAATGGCATCGCACACAGACTCTGTGATAAGTGCTCAGCTCATTGTCAAGTAGTGTTAGTTCATGGTAACAAGCGTCTGGCATGTGCAGAGAAGTTTATTGTAATATATATTGTTCTTATTGTTACATTATTAAATCTAACTCTGTATCCAAGTAGTAACTATACTGTACCAAGTCAGGTACTGATGATGTGCAGAGGTCATATATTCCAGAATAAGCCATTACCACTAATATAACTTTAATTTTGTTAAATATGTTATTCATGAAAGAGTTCATGAAAGATTTTTTTAATTTGTTAAATCGCGATCTTATTTTTTTATAGTCAAATAATTGAATAATGTGGGTAAAATTGGTCTTCCACTTCTTATTTGCATTTTTCCTTTACTACAAGTTTATTTTGGAACAGTTGCAGCATTAAAATTTAAAATAAATAGCAATCTGAAAGAAGAATTTTGCATTATTATTATATGATGATAGGAATTTTGGATTAGAGATTAGTTAAATACTGAGTAGTGATATTGTCAATCAATTTATGTAGAATCTGATAATATGATTGAAAATACTGATTGAATTCTTGGCCTTGCACTGGGCAGTTTCACATTTGTGCTAAGTGCTTTTTTTGGACTCCATTGTACAGTGGTAATAGTTCTTCAATTGCCATGAAAGTTTTTAATCAGACTCTGTATGATGCTGCTATCTGCTGGTGCTATCGGCAACGAATTAGTTTGCCTTTGTTTCTGAGTGAATCTACCGTCTAAAATTACTATTTCTGAAAATATGTGCGTTTTGCTGAGGGTAGGCTAGGCAATACACGGCAAACTTCTTAGTACGTGTGTACAACATATTTTTTTAAAAAACCCTAGCGATATTTGGTCAGGAGTTGCTTGATGCATAGCACAGCGTTGCTGTCTATCGGCACCAGGCCGTAAGTGTGTCAATTATCACGAATTACCCACGAATCGCGAACCCATTCATTTTCCTATGGCAATCTAGCAACTCATTAAAAGTGCACGCATGCGCAGTGGGCTAAGCGTGACGTCATGCAGTGCATTTCTGGGGATGGTACACTGATGGTAATGCCTTCTGTGTGCTTCGGGAAAATAAAATGATGATCACAGACCTAGGGGTGTGTTGGCGAAGGTCACCTTTTTAACCTTCACCTTGCGAAGGATCTGGAAAATGTGTACTCTTTGAAGACGTGTGAGAATGAGGGCAAAAATGAATGGCCACTAACGGTTAGGTACTGTAGCGCAAAATGAGATATGGCTGCTGCTTATGCGCAACTTTTATATAGAATAAAATTGGATTTATTTTGCATTATATTAGTGAGGCTACTTACTCTGGAGCGATAGGGTGTAGTCGCAGCGCTTCCCTTAAGAACATGTCCAAATACTGCATCTTACTTATAGTCTCATACGATGGAGGACCCTAAAAGAGTTTCGATATGTTTCAAGCTGATTGAAAAAAGTGCTTAGTTTGAAAATAATGTAAAGTGGTCGAATAATTGTGCATCTATTCCACGTGTAGTTAGTTCATGTATCCAAAAAAGTGTAAGTTTGATGAGCAGTTTGCTTTTAGCTTTCGATTTTCAAACTTTGCTTTACATCTTCTCAACTACTTACTTTCATTGGATTATTATTATTATTATTATTATTATTATTATTATTATTATTATTATTATTATTTATGTACAGTTGACTATTATTATTATTATTATTATTATTATGGAAATAATTGCTGTACAGTTGACGTACAGAGGAGGAAACGAGCGAACATGACGGCACGTGCGCTGTATGTATGTGTGCATAAGCTTGAATTACATTGTTTTTTGTTCTATGTGTATTGTCATACTATGTTCACTATTATTTTTATTTATTTATTTAATTTATTTGAATAACATATATATATATATATAAGAAAAATAATATTTGATATATAACTGACAAACTGATTAAATAAACTATACAAAAAAGAAGCAGAACATCTCTAATTCCCAATTAATATAATTACAACAACAACATGATACAATTGCGTCGATGTGATTTAAACTATTAGTAACAACTGGCTCATCTTAGAAATTAATCTCCCTACCGCAGTTTAATTACTTTGAAACACTACATTATTTTATAGGATCTTAGGGCTTGATTTTGTACATCCGCCATTTACTTTAAAAAGTGTGTACAAAGGCGCCGCCTGAATCCAACTATTTTACTATAGAACTATCTGAATTCAACTAGGTATATTCCTACACTGTTTCAATATATCATTCTTTCCCTTCAAGAGAGTTGTTTCCCTGCAGACACTTACCTCTTCAGTGCAGTATTGGTCTACCTCCGCCTGGAGAGTTTTCTGTGCCTCTGGACTCGTTGCTAGGTGGTAGGCAGCGTAGGCCAGGGCGGTGCTGGTGGTTTCATACCCTGCGAACAAAAACGTTACACACTGTGCCCGGATCTCCTAAAGATTGAAATAAAAGTCAACAATTAATTCAATTTATTAAACCTTTATGCCGTACGGCTCATCTGAATGGAATACATTGACAACATAAAGTCACATCAACTTAACTGTCACTGCAAAAACAACTACTTCTGATGCAAATAATAATAATAATAATAATAATAACAATTCATCGGAGTGACCCTAATTTTAGCTCCAATGCATATTTTAAAAACTTTCTCAAGTTCTTTAAGTGTGAGACTTTGTTAAGTGATAATAATTTAATTAGTTTAAAGACGCTTGGCTTTGTATAATAAAATGTCCTGGTGTATTTATCACTAATCGTACTGTAGTGAGGGCATGTAAGGATAAAGTGAAATGCATCATCTACATCGTATAAATTACATAATTTACAGGTTCTTAATTTTTTATTTGTGTTTGTGAAACTTCCAGTCTCCACAGCTAGATTATGTGATGAAAGCCTAAATTTTGCGATACATTCCTAATTTTTCTGGGAAATTGACTTATTTAAATACAATTGCACTGTGTAATTATCAACAAGATGTTGATACAATAACCCTTTCCTCGCTGTGAATATTTCTCGGGTCAATACTTGTTTAAAATTATATTTCAATCTTTGTTTTATCAAAAACAGTTTACAAACATCTGACATGTTTTCATAACAAGTAAATCACAGACCCATTGATTTCAGTTCATTCCGTATACAACTTCTTCACTCAAAATTATTTTAAGGATATTTTTGTAGCCGTTTGTATAATACATATTTTCAACCAATATTTAATAATGCTAAAGCTTTCTATCTAAAATAAGTGGGTATCTCCCTGTTTCATAAAACACTAAGTAATCACTAGTGCTTCCTTTAACACACAACATTCTTTTCAAAAGATTCGTATGTACTTTTTTAAATACCCTTTGCCTTATTAAATCCCCATATTTATGATGCATAATTTAAAATACTACTAACGTACGTATCAAATACTGCACATATGGTGGAAACATTAAAATTATGTTTTTTTTTTAACAATTAACAATCAGTGTTCGCCCATTCATGTTGTCCTACCAAAATTCTATATATTAAAACAGTTATTACATTAACAACGTTTTAATCGTGAGTGCCATTTATAGACTTAAACGGATTCGGTTTCGAACCATCCACATTAGCAGGTTCTATCAAATATTGCTACAGCGGAATTCGCTTGAATAAGTATCATTTACGGTGTATGCATTGTCGTGAAACATTGAATTCCTCCTTAGATGCACACAGTCACACAGTCACACATATACACACACATGCACACACACACANCTGGCTCAGAATAGCGTCAAATTTCACCACCTAACTTGAAATGGGCCCCTTTATGCATTCCACTGCTTATGTCAACCGAGGACGTCCTCGGTTGGAGGTGTGTCCTCGGTTAGTGGGTTTCGGGCGGGTGTGTGTCCTCGGTTAGAATGCGTGCAAAAGAGCACGAACGCGCGCGCCCACACACCCACACACACCAGATTGCCCTTTTACCTTTTCTGTGAGTTTCACCTTTTGTGAATATCTTCTTTGAGATGAGGAAGTGCCGCTCTGCTGACCCGCCTCAACTCCATCTTGTGTTGATATTACGTCACTGTCCGTCATCGCCTGAGGTACAGTCGAGTCCAGATTGTCAGTTTTGGCGTCCAAAATCAACTGTAGGAGATCCACCCGTCGAGACTGAAAATTCACCACGTGATTGTTAACCACTTTCAAAACTTATATAGGTCACTGAATTACTTTGCATTTACGCTTATGGGATGACATGCATTCATGTTTTTGAACTTTATCTGATATGCTATCTCATGTCATTCAATAATTTTATGGTTATTAACGCGTTGATCTTTATATATATTTTACAAGAAAACCCAAAACTCATAGAGGCGTTTAAGCGTAGGGCTTTAATTTGCGTTTTGAAATTTTTATATTTACTTACTTGTTGGTGAATTAAGAACACATTATTATTAGACATAATTCATTCCAATCCATGACAGGTTTTTACCAGTAATATAGTTTCATTATACCTTTGGATTATTTAATCTAGACTGTATGGCAGCGCTGGCAAGTGCGCCTATGTCATGCCTCCTCTTTCTCATCAGATATTTGTTCCACAACTTGGCTAGACCTGTCATCGATGGAAAAATCCCTGCAATCAGGAACATAAGCTACGGATCACATACATATTTTGTTTCTGCTGAACACGGTTGACGGGCAGTGTACCCAACGTGCCTACCGGAGGCCATATCAGGTAAAAAAAAATAAGGATAATTGAACGTAGCAGTGATAATTGATCCTTGGGTTTATATACAGTTTTCAAAGCCCAAATTATTAGGGCATCAAATTGACACTCTGACCTTAAGGCCAGCCAATAGATGGATGACCTTGTCACGACGTGATCATATGCGTACCGGAAATAAAGAAGGGCGCCATCATCGCTAGTGATGACGTGCCGGAGAATTTACGACATGCTGCCAGAAATGGTGACGTTTTATCTCGCACTGAGTTCAGCTCGAGACCAAAACCACACGAGCCGATGACTTCCATGGTGAGGCCTTGGAATTCACTAAATTGCATAACATAAATAAATGGCATATTAAATTACATGAATTTACTACCAGGTTTTGTCGTTCTTCAGTTATTCTTTTCATGAGAGAGAGAGAGAGAGAGATTATTTACGTATGATTATAGATCGAGATTAAATACTATAAGTATACCGCACGGTCTTAAATGATATCCTAATGCAGACATCTAATTTTTGGGTACTGGCTATTCAATACGTAAAACATGAATTCGACATTACTTACTCATGGATATTAAACGGCTTTCCCTCCTGACAACGCCTTTCCATAGCTTCCATGAAACTCTTCACCGATTCCTGGATCAGTGGCGCCATCTGCAATAATATGCAGCCACACATGCTGCTTACAACAGTATGTTAATTGAAGTAAAGTATGCATTGCCCTAAAAGTTCCCGGCAAATCCCTGCTACTAGTAGATACTACAAGAGGGTTTACAAAGTGGCGGTATATGTTGTTCACTTTCTCTTGTGACATCTTTAAAGGTGGTAAAATAAATAAGTGTTCTTAA